CGCCTCAGCCTCCCAAATAGCTGGAACTACAGGTATGCACCACCATGCCCAGCTTCAACTGTTATGTTTTGGTTGGTTTTTTTGTGTTTTTTTGTTGTTGTTGTTAGCAATAGGGGTCTTGTTCTGTCACCCAGGCTGGAATGCAGTGGCACAATCACAGCTCACTTCAATGCTCATTTATTATTATTTCAAAATATTAAGGGGGAACAAATGCTTTTGGTTACATGGATTGCTTTTCTAATGCTTGAATCATGGCTATAAGTGTGCCCATCACGCAAATAGTGTTCACTGTACCCATCAGGTAGGCTTTTGCACCTCCCTCGACCGCCCCACCCCCGCCGGATTGCCACTGATTTTTACTTCCCTCTGTGCGCGTGTTCGTTGGTTAGTTCCAATTTAATAGTGAGTATATGTGGTGTTTTTCTATTCTCGAGATTCTTCACTTAGGAGAATGGTCTCCAGTTCCATCCAAATTGTTGCAAAAGGTATTAATTCATCCTTTTTTAGAACTGAGTAGCACTCCATGGTATACATATAGCACATTTTGTTAATCCACTCACGAACTGATGGGCACTTACTTGGGTTGATTCCACATCTTTGCAATTGTGAATTGTGCTGTAATAAACATTTGCATGCAGGTGTCTTTTTCTTTTTTTTTTTTGAAACAAAGTCTTGCACTGTTGCCCAGGCTAGAGTGCCACGGTGTCGGCCTAGCTCACAGCAACCTCAAACTCCTGGGTTCAAGGGATCCTCCTGCCTCAGCCTCCCAAGTAGTTGGGACTACTGGCACATGCCACCATGCCAGGCTAATTTTTTTTCTATTTTTAGTAGAGACGGGGTCTCACTCTTGCTCAGGCTGGTCTTGAACTCCTGACCTCAGGTGATTCTCCGGCCTTGGCCTTCCAGAATGCTAGGATTACATGCGTGAGCCACCTCGCCCGGCATCAGGTATCCTTTTCAACTGTACTGTTATTTTTTAAGAGTGGAAGAAGATCTTGAATCTTTTTTTTTTTTTTTTTAGAGATAGTATCTCACTCTGTTGCCCAGGCTAGAGTGCAGTGGTATCATCATAGCTCACTACAACGTCAAACCCTGGGCTCAAGTGATCCTCTTGCCTCGCCCTCCCAAGTAGCTGAGTAGTTGTGTTTTTTTGAAGAGACAGGGTCTCACTGTGTCGCTCAGGCTGGTCTCGAACTTCTGGCCTCAAGCAGTCCTCCCACCTCGGCCTCCCAAAGTGTTAGGATTACAGGCATGAGCCACCATGCCTGGCAAGATCCTACGTTTAGATAATGGGAAAATATTCCATAAATCCAAAGAAATACAAGTTCAGAAAACAGTAGTTAACATGGGGAAGTTTAGTCACAGTAACCCTACTGCTCAAAGTAGATACAGATTCTAATACCAGTTTAGCACATTTCCTACCTTCTTTAGCCACCAAGAGATCCAAAAAGTTGTCTGATGCAAAACAGACAAGGTAAAAACACTCACATTTTGTGAATATTAGAAAAAGACTTTTCAATATGGATTCTATATTTCTAAATTTATTTTCCTAAATCATTCCCTGATGTTTGTTCAGAATTGTACCGAAAGCTGGGCATGATGGCTCATGCCTATAATCCCAGCACTTTGGAAGGCCAAGGTGGTAGGAGCTCTTAAACCCAGGAGTTGGAGACCAGCCTGGGCAACATAGTGAGACCCTCTCTTAAAAAAAAAAAAAAAGAATTTTTTAATTGTACCCAAATAATTGCTATCAGGTCTGAAGTATCATTGATTCACTAACGCCATTCATGACATCTATCAAAGAAAAATCAACATCAATGAGAAACACACATTTAGGCGCTCTAGGTAGTAATCCTGGTTCAGGCACTAACAAGTTGTGAGTCTTTATATACCTTAACCTTTCTGTCATGGTGAAGAAGCTAAGGAAATAAAAGACATGCTCTTGCAACTAATTTACAGTCTATTTGGGAAAGATAATTAACAGCAAAAAAAATTAAGACTTACAATTAGGAACACAAGGATCAAGTTCAGCGAAAGAGAACCATGTGAGTTAAGAGTGAGCGAAGGCTTTACATGGAAACCGTGCCCTGGTTAACTATCACGAGCAAGCACCTTAAAAATAAGCAGAGAGTAACAGAGTAGCTTTCCAGGTAAGAAATCTAAGGGGGTTTCACTGATTGGAAGTTCATGTTGGGAGACTAGATGAAGAACGCAGAACACCTTCAAACATTTAAGAGAAAAATTACTACCCAGAAAGAAACAATTTCCAAGTATTTAGCCTAATTTTAGACAAACCTGTCTGCTGTCTTTTTTTATTTTTACTTGTACAGTTCAGTTGCACTAAGTATATTCACATAGCTGTGCAACCAATCTCCAGACTTTTTGTCTGCAAAACTGAAATTCTATGTCCATTAAACAACTCCCCATTTCCACTTCCCCCCTCTCCCCCAGAGGGTGGGGGGAACTTTTTGTTTCTGTGAATTTGACTACTCTAGATACCTCATAAGTGGAATCTTACAGTACTGTATTTTAGTCACTGGTTTATTTCACTTAGCATAATGTCCTGCTGTTTTGTTATATACTTCATGCCAAAGGAAAAACAAAAAAAAGAAAACCACCAAAAAACAGTAACAACTACTAGTTTTATTGTTGAACATTCACATCTTTTTTGTTTCGTTGTTTTTAGTAGAGATGGGGTCTCCGATGTGTTGCCCAAGCTAATCTTGAACTCCTGGGTTCAAATGATCCTCCCACTTCAGCCTCCCAAAGTGCTGGGATTACAGGTGTGATCTCTCATCTTATAAAAGTAATTAAATACTGAGGTAATCTAGGAAACATGTTTAAAATCAGTACCTTAATGGTAAAAACAATATTGTCTACAGGGTCACATTATGATCAGGTTCAATTAAGTATGCAACAGTAAAATTAAAAGTTAACCACTATAAGAACAGAAATATACAGGGTAACATCTCTTCCAAACAAGTAGAAGGGGAAAAGTGAAAAGAGAAAATAAAACAAAAAAGTCAATCCAAAAAAAGGCAAGAAAGGAGAAAAAAGTATAGGAACTACAAATTGTAACATGGTACAAAAAGCCCAAATTCATTCATTCGACAATTATCTTACAGAGTGTCTATTAAAAGTCAGATGCTGTTTTGGGCAATAGGGATACAGCAGTAAACAAAAATAGAAAAATACCTGCCTTCGTGAAGCTTATATCCTAGTGGGGGAGAACATAATAAACCAGATAAATGACTGAATCACATGGCATGTCATATGATGATAAGCACAAGGACAATGAGTGCAACAGATATCCTAAGGATAAAGGTGGCTTGTCAGAGAAGGCCTCACTGAGAAGGTAACAGTTCCAAAAATATGAGGGAGGTAAAGAACTGAACCATGTGGATTTATGAGGGAAGACTATTCCAGGCAATGAATAGCAAGTGCAAATATCCTGGGGCTAGGATGTGCTGGAGGAGACCATTCAGTAAACCAAACAGGAGACTAGTAAGAGATTCGAGATTCAAGCAGGACCAGGTCATACAAGACCTGGGAGGCCACTCTAAAGACTTTGGCTTTTACTCTGAGTGAAATGTGTAGTCCTGGGAGAGTTTTTTGAGAGAAAAGAGATTATTATTATT